AACCCACCCCTCACTTATGAGGAATGAACCAGGGAGGCAGTTGCAAGGGTGAAGGTGGGGTGGAGGGAGGGGGGCTCTACAGGCAAGTATTTATATGTAAGAGTGGAAGTGCAAGAGTACATTCCTAAAAAACCTAGATTGACCTGTCGCGAGCAAAAGAAGACAAAATACGTGACCTCATGAGGGATTCCAAGAACCAATAACTTCATCTGAGAAGTAGGGTTGCAGATTCCTTGTGGACATGTGCACAGGCATGCCAGTGAACTTTGAGCTGAGATTTATATGTACAAACACCCGTACAGTTAGGAAAATACTTACTGTATATGCATACCATTGATGCACAGAACCTTCATGTACTGTATGCACCGTGTTCCCTGTATGTGCAAGATATAAGGAAGGAGCTTTATGACTCTGCAGCTCTTCTTCATTATGTGATGGAATGATCCATGAAAACAGAACTGGGGTGAAAGAGCAAACCTGCTGAGGACACTGGTGAGGACAGGTATCTGAGTGTTCCTGGTGGCAAAGGAAGGATTGTCAGGGTTACTTCAGTCAAGAAATTGCTTTGCATTTCAAAAGTGTTTTTATTTTCCTGAAACCTCTACCATGCCTTCATAGTTTTGGCATCGGTATTTTTTTTTTATGTGTTCATTATTCAGAATGTTTCTACACTGTAGCATATTCAGTGTCTCTCACATTCAGTGTGTTAGTGAGCCTCCACTAACAAGCTTCAGTAAGCAGTAAGAGTAGCCTGAGCAGGATGACTTACACCACACGCTTTTGAAATACTTGCATTCCACCACATACTTGTTCAGTCACAGGTGTGGCGGAATGGAACTGTTCATTCTTGTTTTTTGGTGTATATGAATATCCTTTACTTTTAAAACTTGTGTGTCACTATTACCCAGTAACACGACCTGCATGTCTGATGTGCTCTTGTTTGTCAACACTTTGATTTGTTAAGTGTCTTTAGTTATTGCAACTAATTAGCATTGCGTTTGTCAGTACTGCTCCCTGCATTGTGAGTCAGACGGGTGAGACAAGTCAGTGATTGAAAGAAATAATTAGTTTGCTTCTTTGTCCTTTAATAAGATGAACTGTCAAGAATGATATGACATTTGGAATTCCCGTGGTTCAGATAGAGACATCATGTACTGTATTGTTCTATGACTGACTTGATAAGCAATAAAAAGATAATCCATGGAATAAGTTTTACACTGGTAAGATATTTTACTTTTACTTTAAGAATAAGGCCCAGCCTACCAATGTTATTTTAAGCTGCTTACAGTACTTAATAATGAACATGAAAGGGGAAATGGGTAATAAAACTTTCCGTCAATAATCACTCCCTGAAAATCTTTTGTCTTCCTATAGTAGGTAAAACTGGCCCGTGGGACAATACAACTTTGTATAATGTGTATCATGGTGTGTTTAATGATAGTAATTATGCATTTGCCTAAGGGGCAGTTTTCACATTTCACTGCTCAGTTTATAGTCTTAGATCCATTATACTTTGAGACTGTAAGCTTTTGGTTAATATCAACCTGAGATTTTAAAGGCAACTTTGAGGCACAGTGAGAAAAAAATAAAAGCAAAACAAGCATGGTAAGATAGCAAGATTTCTGAGAAAAATATAATTTTCATGTCTTACAAAGATCCGGGGTATCATAGTTTTTTAATTGTATATCACAAAATATACTTTTTCCTTAATGTAATTCTGTTTTTTTTAATGTCTTAATTTATAGACAAATTAATTTACAATGTTATGGGTGTTTATCCTGTTAAGCAATTATCTTATGCATACTGTTGGTCTTCAAAAAGAAAAGATTCTCAGCTCTTTTTATAATCATTTCTGCTGTTCTAGTAGTAAATCAAATAAATCACCATTAAAGAATGAATAAACTGCTTATCTTTCGCCAAACACAATGTAGAGAGCTTAATTACAAATAAATTCATCACTTGTTTTTTTTGTTAAGAAGCTAAACTCCTTTTTGTATGCTGGAATTTTGGTTGTTTTCAGAGAGAATTGCGTTTTAAACAAGATCTTTTGCTTATTTCCAATATGAAAGAGCTCGGTTTTCCATAAGTTTTGAACATTCAATTTAAATTATAGAAGCTGCAGAACAGAGCGCTCTCCTCACAGTTGCTAAGGTCTACATCTGGACATAAGGTGTGATAACTTGTCACATTATCTTTCAATTATCACATCAGTTCTAAACTATTTTAAAAGTGATACCTCTTCAGCTCCTGTGATTGAATATTTTGTAACAATGCTCCCAATCCTGACACAGTGGTTTGAATAGCAGTTTGAATACTCCCATTCCTGTGCTGGTTGAAACTCATTAATTATGTTATGCTTCTCATTTGTCATGGCTATAACATTCAAGGTTCCTTTTGGGGAAAAAAAAACAGTTCTGTTTTGTTGCATTCTCTTTTTTTATGATGGGGTGGCCTCCTATTTTGTCAAATGCTGCTGGATCTTTTGGGATTAAAAGAAATGCATACAATTATTCATCATGAAATCAAGTCTGTCTAGTCTCATGTACAGGGAGGTGGTAAAGCATAGTGGGCAAGCCTTCGGACTCATGGCTGTGGGTTTGAGTTCCTGCTGCAGACTCTGCTAGTGTACCTTGAGTGAGGTGCTTTACTCCAGTGGCTCCAGTCCACCCGACTGCATGAACAGGGACCAGTCTTTGCTAAGCACTGCAATGGACTGGTGTCCCATTCAGAGGTCCAGAGAGCGAGTCGTTATTTACTTTCAACGACATAGAAATCAGGACAATCTCTACGTGTGGCATGAATATGGAAAGAAACCACAGTACCTCATGTATAGGGTATATACCTTTAACGAAACCCTGGGTATAACTGGAAGGTTTAAACGGCTGAAATAGCACAGAATAGGATGGAACAGTCTCTTCACTTTACCTTGAAAGAAACATGATTTCGGTTTGCTCCATTTGCATAATAATACAGCTGCTACCAGCCATTTTCTGCACTCATGGAAAAAAAAAACAAAGCTAATGGCTATTTTTATTAGGAAGGACAGGTAAAAAAATACATTAAATAGACCCATAGCCAACCAATTTGCTTATGCCTGATACTATTTTTCATTTTTGCAACAGATGTTAAATAGATTATGTAGTCTCCCTGTTGTTTGCTTGGCAAGAATGATAAACCATAACACTTTGATTTCAAACCCATCTCTCTGTGTTATAAATAGAAGCAAGACTGATATGCATACATAATTAAACATGAAGTATCTCTGTAGATGTTTACTTAATCCCATTGTGAGCTGTCAGCCATATGGACCAATAGCTCCTGTGTTTTTATTTTTGGTAGCTTGTGCCCTTAAAGGCATCTGCCAGGTCTTCACACAGTTTGTGCCTACAGAATATTTCAGAAACAAATGTGTTTTTATTATCAGTACTTCATTCTTCATTTCCAGAATAAATGTGACAAGCTTATAATGTGCTCCGTTATTCTATATATTTTTTTAAAATCCAGCATAAAATATTTTTACTGTACTGTGAGTGTGTGCATGTCGAACAGTGTACCGATAAAAATTGGCACTGTATGCAGTCACTGTAGGACTAAAAATGCAAAGCAGTGCTTCCAGTCGAGGAGCAGAAGTGTTCCTAAGAGACATCCGTCACCCCTCTCCGGGGGCATGAGCAATGGTGGCAGGGACGATGCTGGGATGCAGAACATGTTGCCAGAGTTGGCCGAGTTGAATTTTGAGGACCTAGACTTTTCTAAATTGAAGTTGCAAGGACAACCATGACACTCAATCTCTCAGCTGATGCTCCTGATGTAGAGGTGCATAAGGTGCTGGCTTTCTTGCATAGACTCGCATTTTGTGCCTCTGTTTGCAGATTATTTATAAAAGAGGTCTTCAGTTACTGTCTACGAGGCCACAGTGCACCTGTTTGAGGTCTGAGGTCAACTAGTGTGATCGAAGCACTAAATAACCTGCAGTAAATAAGAGCCAGAGCCACCCTCTGATGCAGTCCCTTGGGATAAACTGGAATGGGGCTGACGTTTCTTACCTGAGGTTATGCAGCACTTGGCCAGCTGTGCTGCTTTTCCAATGGGCAGCATCTCTGCTGTCCTGGTCACTCTCCCAGAGGCTCTGGATCAAGTTAATGTGCTGCAGATCTTTGACTATATGCTCTTCATACAGTATTGTGAGAGATGGGTGATACCCCCGGGCGGTCAGGTGGCTGGGATCCTTACTGCTGTGGCCTGGGCCTCATTCCCAAGAGCTGGGAAGAGGTGGTCTTCCTTTTGAAGGCACAGACCGAGCCCAGCCAGCAGATTTCTTCAGAATGAGCAGCGAAACACGGGTCAAAACTATGTGGAGAGCAGGAGCCATTTCTTTACCCAAAGGCTTGTGGGAGTCTCGAACATGCTTCTCAGCCATGTTGTTGAAAGTGATGTCCAGACCTCTTTCTAGATTAATCAATTAAGTAGTAACAACCAAATGAGCATCTGTTAACTAGTAACAACCATAATGGGCTAGATGGGCAAATTGCTCCTCTCATTTTTAACCTGTTTTATGTTCTTGTGGTTCCGGACAAAGTTTTCAAGTTCACTTTCTATTATAAATACTCATTGTCTCACGGTCAACAGTTCTTAGTTCTTAGTTCTACTTTGTTCTTAGGAAGGTTAAGGGCAGATGAAAATGAGATTGTGCACCTCAAGGGGTTTTATCCCTTTGGAAAAATAATTACTTTATATTGTCATGGGGAGCAAACTTATTTATATAAAATACTGAACCCTCATTTTTTATTTTCCCTATGAGAAAAGGGCCTAGACTGGAAGCTAAAATTATTAGCCAACACTTGAAAAAAGCTGTTTATAGCTTTAAAAGAAAAGGCATATCAGTCACTTCAATTTTGTTGTAATAAAAACACAAGGTGTTTTCATCTGTTTTGTCAGAGGGAGTGACAAAACTAGCAAATGGGCTAACCACTTCCTTTAATTGTTTCTGCTTATACTAGGAGATACATGAGTCCAGTCAAGCCTTTTGTGTACCACGCAGTGTTAGCAGTAGGAGTTATCTTAAAAAGGGGAGATCATGAAAAGTAGGACAGGTAAGTTAGCACCGTTACATATTTTCATTTCTTTCTTTTCATTTTAAGTTTTTTTTTTATTTCACGTTTAATACCACTGTTGTATTTCTTCTGAAAGGTGAAATGGTTCTAATGTTTGACAAGCCTTGCTTATCCAGTGTGTTTAATACTGTGCAATCATAGATTTTTAAAAACCCTGTTTCAAATAACATTAGACTGAATGGTGTGCTGTAATTTGTTTAATTCCTTAATATTGTAGCTGTTTATCATAGTTTGTATTTGTAATGTTTTTGCAGTTCAGTCTTGTGTGCTGCACCAAATCCAAACTGATAGTAAAGACCGTCTTCTTAAAACCCCAACAGCTTGCTGTGCTATTTGTTGTGCTTTTGCACTTCTCTGTTGCTTTCTTGTGTTTCATGTTACTCTCTAGGCTTTCAATTTCAATTACATACTGCACTTGCGCAACTTTTTTATAATTTATGTGGCAGGCAGTCTTAAAAAAAACCTGTAAGTAAAACTTAATTTTCAGCTTGTGAGTTGTGAAGTGTTTTGGCTGTTCATAGATACAGACCAAAAGCAACTCCCTGGATATGAGCCCAAGGCAGACTTTTTTTTTTTCTTTTTTAAAATATAAACCTCAATGACCACGCAAAATAAATAATGTTTTCAGTAGATAAAGAATGGATACACACTGCCTAGAAAGGTTTGAGCCAACTCTAGCTTGTACTTCTCCTTCTGATTTGATCCTGGCAAATTAGAGAACTTAGGACAAATTGAAACTGCATAATGTAAACAACTTTTTATTAACACTGTATCTGTAGTACTTGCAAAACATTAAACATACTGCAGTCCTTCTAACACTGCACTGTTAAGCATTAAAGTTGCACAACTTTGATTCAGTCTATGATTATTCCCCTCTTGGTTCCACTCATAATCGAATAGACCTGATGCTGAAAGACAGCTGTCCCATTCCAGGCAGTTGCACATACAGATTGTATGACTAAACAAAAGCATTTGGTGCTGGAACAGCAGTGAAGGATTCTACTGCACTACTTTCTGATCCCACAAACAGAAATGCAAAATGTGTATTTATTCCTCCTGGCAGCCTCTAAGAGTTGCCTCATTTTTGCAGAAGCAGGGGAACCAGAGGTCGGCGCTGTAATGCAGTGATATTTACTTGAAATACTGGTCATCTAAAACTCCCTCCATAGCTTTGCACACTGAACAAGATGCATATAACTGTATGTGACTTGCATCCCTAGATTCATTTAAATTTAAAACTTCTCCTTACATATATCCCCTTGAAAAAATGAAAAAGAACACCACACAATTTGCATAGATCAATTAAGGAGCAGACACAATTGCTTAAATGATTTATGATTTACTGCACCACCTTTCTTCATTTTATTACCATAACAGCAAGTGAAGACATGTCAGTCGTGATTTCAGGAACCCTGAAAATCCCTCTAGGGCAGTCTTGAAATGTGTTAAACACTTAAGACACATTTGTTGTAGTAAAAGCAAGTGAGCTATATTTAAGCATGTAAACCAAATACTAGTAGACAACTAAAAATCCTAAAACTTGTGTGAAGGGCCACAGGAGAGTATTCAATTAATCTTTTATACCTTATATTATTGGCTTTGTTGACTATCTTGTGTAAGTATGCCTTTCTTAAGGAGAAACAAATATTTTATTTTTTTTGTCATTTCTTAAATTGTAAAATTCAGGTTTAGAAATAACTGACCATAACTGTGGATATGTGTTTTACACAAACAAACTGAGCTGCTGCAGTGTGGCGTGGATATTGCACGTAGGAGAATCAGAGGCCCGAAGGTTCATCTGACTAGAGTTCCAGCCTTTTAATGACCACATACTGGAACGGTATATTCTATGACAGAAAATAATAATTGGGTGATTATTATTTGCATGCTTTCTTGCTGCTTTTTTAATGTTAAGAATGTATTGTGCAAGCCTCTTATTGTTTTAAGAGCAGTGGTGCAGTACGACAAAGTCCTAGGATATTTTAGTTGCAGACTTGCCACAAGTTGAGACTGATCACAGCATTACAGTGGCTATACCGGCAATGCAATTTTGATCAAGTTCTGAAAGAAGAATTTACAGATTCGCAATAACAACACAGTAGTCAACATGTTACATCAACATCTCCTTGGACACATTCTTATTTGTATTGACATTTTAAACATACTGGACCCAAATCACAGGATTTTATAAAAATGACAGGCATTTAGCATTTGATGTTCTGATTTAGGTAAAATACAAAAAGGCATGATATCAATACAAGAACAGCAAAGGATATGACTGGACCTCACTTGAGCAACGAATGTCATCTGGTTGCTGTTGGCATGATTGAAGGCAGCCTTTCTGTGAGACAAGCTCTGTGCAACATTCAGCAGAATAGCTCAGAGAAACCAGGAAACCAGATGTGTGAGGAAAAGGCCACATCGTGGGAAAACAGAGAATCACCACAGCTTCAATGGACACTTACTGTACATCCATCTGAGAAATCTGAATCATCTGCATAATCATCTAAAGGCTGCAAGATGAGAAATAACTGGAAGAATGATTGGGCAGGAAGCTCACTGTCTGTAAAAAGGATCTGCATGCCTGGAGGACATTCAGGGATAAAATATTGATAATGAAGTGAAATAGTCATCTTCTGTTGGGCAAACAGGTGTGAGGAGGTGGCAGATGAATAGTATTTTGCCCTTGACAGGTCTGGCGGAAGATGATGCGTGCAAGCTATGCCAGCAGCTTTCCCATTCCTGCTAGCCAATCAAGAAGTCTCGGTATTCCAGCAGGATAATGTCTACCCACACCATGCTAGGATGACAATAATATCAGTATGGCTGCTTTGGGGCCAGGTCAACAATGCCAACAACACAAGACAACTGAGACCAGCCAGCTTGGCTGCAGCTGCACAGAAAGAGTGGTGGAACAGCCCACAGCTTAGGCACCTTAGGTCTGTGCGTTGGCTCTGCCCGCGCTGTTAATGTTCAAGGATGCCATGCTCATTACTAACATTGCAATGTATTTGTTTCACACTGAGAACTTTGCTGAAATATCCTTTGATCTGTGTTTTTGTTCAACATTTCCTTTGAGTCTTTTGAAATATAAGTTTGAAATATTTTAATGAATCGATAAGATGCAACTGTATAGTCTGCTATGTGTGCTAATGTACTTGAGCTTCTTAAAAAGCCTGTGGCTGCTGACCTCTTGCTGGCTGAGATGAAAGCTGAAAATGTATTTATAAAAGGCTGTAACCACAAACCTGATTAAGACTAAACATAATCAAGAGGGTTTTAAAGAAATTGTCATTCAGTGCTTTTGCAGGCAAATTCTGCAGAAATTAAAATACACAGTAAAGTACAGTATACACATATGTTTCTTGGACTAAACTATAAAAAATGCTTATTACAGCACACCTTACAGTTATCTCACTGTTTGAGTTGTCTCTGTGCACTTTACACTAAGTTGTGGATAAAACAGTAGTGTTATTATGAAGCTCAGAGACCGGCAATGTACTGTACCATGGAGAAAATTACCAGAAATCCCCTGAGTTATTGAAAAACATAGGTGAATTTTTAAAGAATTTATGTGGGTTTCTGAAAGAATTATTTCAACACCATCTACGTTTTTGTTCATATGCAGGCTTTATGTTAACCACATAACAACTGCAGTTGTTGCAGGCTATTTGAAGGACATTAAAACCCCAAACTCTATTCATAGGAACTTAGGACAGGTAAACATATGCTGGGCCTCTGAATTTATACCACACAGACTTCCTGCTTGCAAATTTAGTGTTTTCATTCTTGTGCCGAAGCTGTTTTAGAAAGGAGGAGACCTGGTTACAGTGCTGATGTGCCTTACCAAAGATCACTTATCCAGACCAGGGAATACAGCCGTGTAGACAGACCCCTTGTCCTGCATGTCCCGGCCATACAGCGGCACAGATACTGGGGCTTTGGTAAGTCACTTCTTGATGCTGACCTTTCCGACTACCTGCATCTGTTTCGTAGCACCAGAGGTATCAATAACATCTTTGATATTAATGAGTTAATACTTAACAAGCACTGCCATCGTTGTGATTCAAAACGATGACAGTGCTTGTTAAATATGAACTCAAATTCATTTTTAAAGTATACCATTTAGATATATTTGTGTTTACAGGATGGCTCGTTGTTCTTTGTTATAAACTCTGGCAGTTCAGCTTTTACAGTTTGGCTGTCTGTCATATTTAGAAGCCTTTTTACAAACGCTATCACACATTGCCCATTATTGTGACAGAATAGGTCCTCAAGCCCACACTTGAAGCTGGCAGCTCAAAAGGACAGATCACTGCCCATTTATACAGCTAAGTAATCAAGTTAATGGATTCTGCTCAGGGATCCAGCTGCAGTGTTTCTACTGGGTTCCTGAACCCACAGTGAGGAGTCCAGAGCCCTCACTTCTGTATCTGCCCCTGACAGCACCGCATACTTGATACATATAGAACAAAACTTCCTCCTTCCTGGAATGACATGCACACATTACACCTCACAGAAGCCTCATATTTGCCGGGTGGAGTAATTAAACTGCAGTTTCAGTTACCTAAGGTGTAACTTTTAGTTGACACATTAAATTCTTTCACTTCTATAACAACCTGTCCTGTCTCTTGTTGATTAGGCAGCCAGAATCTAACATTGAGCTACTGGCACAGCTGGACCTGACCCAGGAGTCTGTGGGCAGCAGGACTCCCCCTGCATTCTGCTTCTCAGAACAGGCACTTACCCAGGTTAACCACCTGGGACTTGTGGTGCTTAGCTTTAAACACAGACCATTAGGAACTCCAAAAAGGGTTTGGCAGTTTAGGATTATGTAAACCAAGACAAACCACAAAACTACAAGTATGTTCCTGGCAGAGGCATTTTTCCTTTGTGAAGGTTTTTTTCTTTAACGTAGGCTAAGGTCGAGAAGGGTTTCTGTGGCCTGAGCTCTGCCTGTGTTCACTCAGTAAATATTTCTGTCTAAAATTAGGGCCCCTCTGAATTGAGGAATTTTCAAATGAAAACCCGTGATAATCAGCATTGTTAAGTGATAGTGATGCCCTCCAACTTTAAAGTTTAATAAGTTCTGTTCTGGTGGTCAATCCCATTAATTAGCACACATTGCAGGTTGCTGTCATGGCTGCTGTCTGCCGTGCAGAATGGTTACATCTTGTGGTAACTGCACTGCCCTGGTCACTGTCTCTGAGGCAGAAGGCCTTCCCTCGATCTGCACTGTCACTGAACACGGAATTGTTGGCATGTCTCTTACCAGCCTGCTGAGCTGCAAGCTTGACATCATCTTTCCACAGAGGGACAGCTACATGTGGCAGGGCTATATTAGGCTGTCCTTAGTGGAAGCTGAAACTCAATAATGTCTTCAATCATGTCTGCTCAACAATATGGGTCTAATAGCTGAGGATCAAAACAGTGGCAGTGCTGCGAACAGCTGGATTGGAATATTGGCTTCTGGGGCCTGTAGGTTCGAAGATTAATTATGTGTGATCTAGAAAAGGTTACATGACTGTCATGCTGTGCATTTGCTGATTTTTGAGAGGGCAAGACACCATTGGGAAGAAAAAAAAATGTTTGTATGGGGGTTGTACCACATTTATTTTCATTTTATCCAAATATAAAAATTATACTCCCAGGTAGCCAGCAAGCAGGGGCCAGAGATGGCTGTCAGTCAGTGTGGCTGTGCTCCTGAGCTGCCCCCAGTATATTCCTGATAGTGTATGAAGCACCTTTGAATGGCCTGTGTTCAATCCAAAGGACAATTAGGTCGATCTGTTTCTATTTAACCTGTGCGTTGAGATTAGTGTCTTTAAGGAGAAAAGGTTGATATAAATAAGTATATAATTTTATTTATAAATATATGATATAAAATATATACTATAATCTACAGTATAATACAGTAGAACCTGTATATACTTTATTGAGTGTAAATCTTTTTATATGTAATAAATGCAATACAATGATGTAATAAACAATATGGATAGATAATAGATGTAGTAAATACAATTATTACGTGTATTTAAATGCAGAAAGTAGAATATGAAGTTGCAGGATGGCTCTGTTTCTCTGGTATTGTAACAAGAACCAATTAATTTTCTTACCCATAAATGTGTGAAATTCTGTATATCCTGATGTGGTATAAACTACAGCGATCCACGGTGTCAAGCTGACATTTTTACGCTGGCCAGATGAAAGCACTGATGTGGAGTCAGTGCTGGATCGGAGCTCTCTGGTTTATCTGGGTACGTGCATTCAAATCACATTTTAAAAAAAAATGTGGATGCAAAAACATAGTATATTGGTAGAGCTCTACATCCAGTATCATGCATTTGGATGTTAAATATCTAGATTCAAGGCGTTGGATCTACTCAAATCCCTGCTTTGAAAAGCGTGAGCAAACTGATCTACAGTTAAAATTGGAAGAGGTGAGTCTGTACTGTACGTTGAGTAACAGATTACAGCCTGTATCTGGCTACTGCATAGATGGAAAAAATGGATCTGTTCTCTGGAGATAGCAGCTGTATGAAACCACAGGCTAAAACAAGTGTTCAGAAGGGCAAGATGCTTTTGTCTATTTCAATGTTTATAAAGATAGAACACGTGTGGCGATGGTGTAAGACTTAGTGCTGCATTATGTATTGTTCTTTGAGAGCAGTTCAGAACTCTTGCACAACACAGACAGAAGTTACTCACAGATAACGCTAATACACGTAGCTCAAACAACAATAAAAGTTGGTCACTGAATCAAACCTTTATTCTGCTTCTTACTGAAGGAAGGCAAAACTGACACATTTAACCGAGGGCAGAGCTGACCCAGAGTTCACAAAGAATTAGCATTTTCACCTCAGAGGATCCCACAATGCTTTGCATATCAGAGGGGAGCCACGTCAACCCCCCGCTGAAGTCCAGCTCTTCCTGGGTGACACACAGCGGTCATTCTACACCAGCAGCCCCACCTGGGAGACACACAGATGTCATTCTACACCAGCAGCCCCACCTGGGAGACACACAGCGGCCATTCTACACCAGCGTTCTCTCTTGGGGGCAAACTGAATAAGCAGTTGTTAGCCATGAGTACCATTTCCATTACAAGCCGGGGCTGGGGGAGATCTCCTTTAGCTCAATCGTCAAGTTCCCTGTTGCGTGACGCCGGAGACCTGGGTTCGCGCCCAGGCAGTGAGGGACGAACTGGCAGGGCAGGAGCGGCAGGGGTGGAAACCCCAAGAACGACATCCCAATCTTTGGTGGCATACAAAAATATAACCCCTTCCTTGCATTACAGGTACAGTAGATACCTGAATTCAATATATAAGCCTGCATCCTGATTAGGTGGCCTGTTGCATGTTCCTAGCACTTTGCCCTTTGAATGTTGTTGTTGTATAAATCTGATCACGTAGATCTGAGATTCTTGATTCCTCCAGGAGTAGGTCCTGTGTCTGAATGGCAGCTGGTCTCCTCTCGGGATGATGGCAGCCACCTCGTGTCCAGGGAGACGACGCACTGCTGTTGACTCAGGGCCTCCCTGGCAGTGCTCCTGAGAGGAGAGTCTCACACTCTGTTACTAGTGTTTGATTGGCAGCCTATGCCGTGTTGTCTTAAGAGTTGCTGCCTTGAGCTCCCAGGTCTTGACTGTTTCCAGCAAATATGATTGAGGATGTTATATGGAGTTGTCTGGACAGGCTGTTGTATTTGGCTTCTTTTGATAACCCAGGACTGAGTCCCCTCTGACTGATTCTGTCTTGTCAGCCTCACAGTTTGGGTTCAGACCTTCATGAATGTAGGATTTGTCACTTCCTTGATTGTCAGTTCCAGTAGCTACATCTCCGTTGCCTTCACTTGTTGAGGAAGAAGCTGGATTTGTATCATTTCTCACAGATTTTGTCTGGATCCTGGGATTTTTCCAGGATCATTGTTATACAATCTGCAAATCAGAAGCTTAAGGGCCATTTATAAGGCGATTCTGTACAGTGTTTTACAGTATTAGAGTTTTCTGAGGTATACAAATATGCAGTGTGTAATCCCACACTTATTTATAGAATTCAATCCCCTTTTTGTAGATGAGAAACAGCACAGATCTTTGTCTAAAGCTTGTTAAAAGCAGTCAGCCCGTCTGTCTACTAATACCATGTTATCGGCACTAACTGTGATACCTCAGCCCCCAAAATAATGATCAGGAAACAGCTGTTTTTATGCGAAGACCCTAAAATGCAAAGGATGGTGGTTTTAGAGTTTGTTTCTAAAGTATAGTATCGAACGTGGCCACTAGCTGTATTAAAACTCTCCACAAAGTTGATGATGAGTTTTGAATATCTAGCATGGCTGGTGTTGATGTGGACTTAACAACCTGTCATTCGCTGTTCCTCTAGTATGCTAGGAGAACTCAGGATTCCTAATGCCCTTGAAAGGTTAGGTGTAGGCAGGGTGGATGCTGCATTTGGAAATCTGTGAAATGGGATGGTACAGAGCTGTGGACTGGCTTGTTAGTCAACTTCAGGTAACTGTGGTTGGTCAAAATCAATATGGAAACAAAATGGGAGGTTTATTTTATAAGTATGTATGAACATAATGTAATAAAAATGAAAGATGAAGGCAAACATTTATATTGCTGTTTTGGTCATGTTCTGTTTGTAAATCTAAATAAAAAGTTTTTAAAAAAGAAAACAAATTGGGAGATAAAGCAGATGTTAAAGAACTGGAGTAATGTGGTCTCTAGCACCAGTCAGGTGAATGTAGCCTGCTGAGTTTAGACTTCATTGCGATTTAGTTCCTGTTTAACATTAAATAAGTAAATTCAATTAATTTTTATTTAATAAAGTAGTATAGAAGGTTTAGCCATGTATTATTTTAAAATGAGGGACAGAGCAAGTTTGGTTCTGTAAACCTAAGAGCTGAAAGTAGTAATGGCAACTTTTTAAAAATTTAGAACCTA